CTCTTCCATTATCTTAAGTACTTTTTCAGCACCTGGTAATAAAATTTAAAGGGCAGAGCCTAAACACGAAATTTTATTACCAGGTGCTGAAAAAGTACTTAAGATAATGGAAGAGTGGTTGCAGGTGCCGTAGGTGCTGTAGGTGCTCATAGTGAAATGCAGTATAGGTGCCGAACAGTTGCTGTAGGTGCTGGTAGGTGCTGTAGGTGCTGTAGGTGCTGGTAGGTGCTGTAGGTGCTGAGCAGGTGCTGGGTGCTGGGTGCCTGCACTTACCCCCTTGGTATGGGGTGTGGGTGTGGGTGTGGGGTGTGAGTGTGGGTGGGTGGGTTGGTGTGGGTGTGGGTGTAAATGTTTAATTCTTTCATTCCCAAACGAACGCATCCACACACCCACACCCACACCCTTCATCTACATTATAGCTAATATTTTGATTTGATTAAAAATCGATGCTCGCATGTCCAATGAATGATTTAAATAGTACCAACAGTTTTATTTATTTATTTTATTCTCTTCAAAACATAATGATTGAGCTGTTAAGCAGAAAGACGATGATCTATCAAAAGAATCAATCGAATCAGTGTTTTGTTCATTTATGATGGTTTTATTTCAAAGTTAAGATACTTAATTTGTCTATAAATTCATGTTCCTATTGAAAGTGGATGATCATAACGACATTTACCGCAATTGGCACAATCGTTCTATTCCGAAAACATGTTTACGGAGAATGAACTGGTTCAAGTTGACATAATGATTGAAATTCTTTGATTGTCGAACAATCCTTAGGACTAAGTGGTTCGTTTATCCTAGTCTTATCAAAGTAGAGCCAAAAGCTCTGAAATGAAGAAAAGTAAACAGAATAAATGATTGAATAGAACGACCCTTAATCTCTTATTTGCTTATTTCACTTTTCGCATGTGAAAATTTTATTAAAATCAATGGTTCAAAAACATCATTGAATAGATGAATGCTCCTCACAATAGCTATGTTCATTTATTTCCTTACTGTTTGGAGCAAAACAGTCTCAATATGCCATGCAAATCGATGATCGCACGAACAATAGATAACTATAAGATAGTTCCTTGTATGTTCCAGGTGTGGCGAATTTTTGGCTTTCTAAATAAAATGTATCAATATTAGAACCAAACTCAACATAAAATTGATAGCTTCTCGTCTATCAAACAAAAAACAAAAGCAATGTTTCCATTCTATCATAGAACCTCATGCATGCTAAACTGGAAATCTATGTTCATATATTGAATATTTTAGATGTGTTAAATTTGGAAACAGAAAAAAATCCATTTTTTTTTGTATTGTTTTTATTATGGAATACTCTGATTATATTCCAATCACTCTAGTTTGATCTATCGTATATAGATATGCATAGAAATAATAAGTCAAGCTCTTAAATACTAGACATCAGATTTCAAAAGTACAATATTCGTAGTAATTTCGAATCAGTTTTCTGAAAAGTCAATTCCCGCAGACTGATATTCATTTTCTGTCAATGAGATTCTTCAATATTCAGTCTCTCAACAAAATGATATTAAATTATGTCTTTAGTGATGTTTTGAGGTCTCGGATACACTGTAAACGAATCAAAGGAGAATGAGATTTTCCAAGATCAACCCTTGACCAATCTTCAAACTTCATAAATGTGTGCAAGAGAAATTCAATCTTCTCCTTAAAATCTAACGTTAACTATCTTCTTTTTGTAAATATTTTGACTCGTGTGAGTGTATAGTGGCTGCATCCTTCGTTCACTCACTACAAGCATTTCAATAAAATATATTCAATGTCCATCCTTTGAGCCTTGTTAAACAACCATGAAAACACAGATTCGTCTGCATAAATGACAGTAACTTACATTGAAAAGGAAAGAAAGCGATTAATTTATGCTAAGGTCTTAGCTAAAAACCTACATCGCTAAACTGCCGTTACAATGCAGTGGTAAATTTGAGCGCTTCACATTTAGGGTATGGGCATGGGTACAACTATCTTCTCTCGAAGAAAATGCACACCTACATCCTTTACGGTACGACGACTCACGGCGGTGATACAGCTACCGTGTCTCACCGTTTACGATGCGATGATTTATATCGCTGTTTTTTACTGTCCCTTTGCAATCGGAATAATACTGTTTACACCCGTTTACAATACCGTACACGACTGTGTGCGACCAGTTTACTGTCTTGATGACGCTGGGGCTGGAATGAGTTGCTGATCGGAAAGAAGGTGAATTATTCGTATCCGATCGGATTTTTTGTGGGTGGTATTATCCTTCATGAATCCGATGGCATTCGATTGTCGGATAAGCAATGATTGAGTAGGATGTCTTGCGACATAACCCGATTTCATATTGTGTTGTCAGGATCTGATGAAATCGAATTCTATCCGCTTTAGAGTTTGGCAATGTCTAGGTTTTTGAAAGCAGAGTTCTGAGTAGATGCGACATGATCTAATTAGTTTTTAATAGAAGGTATCACCTTCCAGAGCAAACTGGTATTCGATTCCATGGCCTCTGCTAAGAATCATTGACCGTATTGGATCACCTGGGAAATATTTTGGCGCTTTAAAATAGCAGATTTGTGTGGATGCGATGTAGTCCGATCGTCGGTTTTGAAAAAATCCAATCGTCTTCTTCCCGACGTTATCTGGTCCGGAATCCGACACAAACTGGAGCAGACCCGATCGATTTTTAACGGAAGACGTCGGATTCCGAAGGGTGTGGGTGTGGATGTGAGCTCTTCCTGAACAATTACCCACATTCACACCTACCCAAACCCACTCACACCCACACCCACACCCAAACCTACCCACAGCCACAGCCACAGCCACACCCAAACCCACACCCACACCCACACCCACCCACGCCCACACCGATACCCACACCCACACCCACCCACACCCACACCGACACCCACACCCACCCACACCTACACCCACACCCACACCCACACACCCACACCCACACCCACCCACACCCACACCCACACCCACACGCCACACCCACACCCACACCCTGTCCCAAATGTGCTATTGTGATTTGGAATAGAAGTTGACCAGCTCCACTGATCGCCACAATCTGTTTTTTCGACTGTCAAAACTTTCGTGCGAAAGAGAGGTTTTCCTTTTTTCCGATTTATCGGAATTGGTTGCCTACGGAGTATCTGCGTTTGAAGTGTGACTGGAAGCTTTGCGAAATATTTCTTGAAATTCGATTTTTCTCGCAGCTAACGAGAAGCATCGGCGGTCTTTTGATTAGCTTTATATTAGTTTCGATATTGGATCGATTCGATTTGTATGTAGTAAGCATGTACCAACTTTGTCTATGAGTTATTTGAGATTCCTTTGAAACAAATCGAATAGCCGACAATCCACTTAATCGCAACAAAAGATTTTATCGTGGAACATACTAGATCTATACGTATAGTTACGAAGCCGGAGGGACTCAAAAGTTCATATATTTGGAATTCCTCAAGTTCAGCTACATCTGAATGTGTGTTTAGTTCTTCGGGTTGAAATTTAGAAAAAAAAGACAGTCATTAAATCCATATATTGTTGATCGTATTTTGATGATTAGAAATTTTTGAGATATATGATGTTGCTTTATGATTGAAACAAATCGAATGAAACTATAATAAACTAATATGAAAGTTTGAATCTTTGTTTAGTTCTAAACAGGATAGAGCAGAGCAGGACCAGGTTTTAAAAGTAGCAGCAGGACAGGTTACAGGTTAGCAGAATTATGGGTCCTGCAATTCTCTAATCATGTTTGTAGTCATTTGGATCACCGTTACCATGTGGTTACAGTGTTACAGATAGACAGACACATGAATTTCTATTGCTAAACTCTATCCTATCAATTTAGGGAATATCTGGATGACTATAATATCCGGCGTTATCGTATAGTAATTGTATATCTTTTGCATTTAAATGGCAGTCGTGGCTTTCATATTTTATTGGAAAAAGAACTTTCTAATCTGTACTTTGTGTAAATGCAGGTTCATTTGATTTAAGGCATAAAGAAAATAAAGTTTTTACTTCAAATTTATTTCAACGTATAATTGCTGTTAGAGATTCATCATCACTATTTCAGTTTGCTTTAATTCAATTGCAGTCAGTCTGTCAATAAGATCTTTATGCATATCTTGCCCTGTGTAAAAACAGTAAATCATCGTGATGATCAATTACAAAATTTTGTAAATTTTTCAGGATGAATTCGATTTCCTTTTTGCCTAGAAGCCATATCCCTAGAGAATGTACTGAGTTAAGAGTACCCGAAAAAGTACCCTGTTACCAGTATGTCACAGGAACTTTTGAATACCAAAGTACTTGAAAGTACTTTCAGGTACCTAAGTGGTACTTTGACAAGTACCCTACTACAAAATGTGTAGTAACTGGGTACATGAAGGTACTGATCAGATACTCAATTGGGTACCATTGTATAGTATTTCTAGGTACCCTGTTACAAAAATTTCAGTATGTTCAGGATCGAACCTGAACTTTCACTTTTTTTAATTTTTGTTTCTCTCGAAGCAATTCACTACATTTTTTTTTCGATTTTATTCAATTTCGTTTTTTCAATTCCAAAAAATTAGCAGGTACACTGCCCGAGATCTGACCCGACTTGAGTTGGTCAGGTATCCATCAGACCACTTCGGAGTAGTCTGCTCTTGATCTACGATCAAGATCGGAATGTTCTCGACTAAGAAATAGTCAAGAAATAATCTAGAAAAAATTAGTAAGAAAATAGATTAATTTCTTATGTCTTACCCAGTTGTTTATATGAAGCCGTGCGTGATAAAGAAAACGGTGAATGAATACTCGCTGCACAGAACGCGACAAATATAGGGTACCCTGTATACCTTTCCTGAGTAAAATAACAGATGCGAGTACCCAAACAAGTACTTGTTCAGTGAGCGTACTTTCATGGGAACCATACGCAGTACTTACATCAGTATATTTACTGAGAATTTTTGAAGTACCCATATTGGGTACCCTGCGAGGGCTTTCTCAGTACATGGGTACCCTGAACTCAGTACTTTCTCTAGGGATGATATTCACATACCATTTCAAAATTGAAATTTTTCTAGGATATTCTTTGATACTTCATCACTTTCACTAATAAGTATTCAAAGGAAAATTATTTTTGAACGAGTAATCCTTGTCCATTGAAATCACTGAGTTTTTGAATTTAATATTCGTTTAGAAAATGAATTTCGAGGAAAAAAAGAAGAAATGGGTTTAAGATTAGCGATTGAATTGATTATAACAGGCCTCGCAGCCGTACTACTTTCCTGTTTTTTTCCTGATTTTTTAAAAATGTCCTGTTTTTCCTGTTTTTGACTGAAAATCCTGATTTTCTCCTGATTTTTCATGATCCATCCCGATAGGGACATATTTATTTGATCATGGCATGTTGTATTTTTATTTTAATTAGTTTATTATCAAAATGTATAAAAAAATATTATGGAATATCTTCAACAAAAAAAGATACAATATATAAATTAATGTTCACTTTAATCATTCATTTTTTCTGTTTTTTGTGTACTCAAAAAGTGAGTACACTATAGAATTGGTCAGCTCGTCTGTCCGTCCGTCCGCCCGTTTCTACGATAACCCTTGAGAACATTAACTGATTGTCAAGAAACTTTTGTCATAAAATCGTCTCATCAATATCTTGGTCGAGTTCGAAGATAAGAGTGATCCGTCAAGAAATTGCCGAGTAATCGCAAAAAATGTCATTAATTTCTGTGCTTTTCTATGCGAACATTGACCTATCCCGGCTTTCATATAAAAACTTTTTCTCTCAGAATCAAAACAAAAGCTCAACTATTATATACCATTCGATAGAGAATTGCACGGGCTACAAAACGGTATATAAAAGATTAAGAAAAAATTGATTGATCGGTTCGATAAAGGAACCACAGGTGGCCATCTTAAATATATTGGAAACAAATCAAAAATGAACAAATTGAGTTTATGAATTCATTTCACTGGCAATCATTATGATCCTCTCTTACCCTTTCTAAATAATCGTCAACAATTTATACCCAAACATGATATAATGAATATGAGTTTATAAAATGAAGGAAGGTTCCATAAACTCATCAAAATAATTAATTAAAATAAACAAGTTTTTATTGATGCAAATAAATAAAGGCTTCGGAACTAACTCCTCGCCGCATCCTACGGGACAAAAAGAGGGCATCGGCAGGACCGAAGGTGCAGTTTCTTAGTGCGCTCAAGGATGATTTTTTTTAGACAGTTTGATCAAAATCAATCTGTCGTCAATTACTTTTACTTTTTGAAGTACACATAACACTCGGATTTGAATCCGAGATTTCCACATTTTGCTCAAAATTGAATCGCTATAACATGATTGTTTATTTTATATATGGAGAGAGAATAACAAATTAGAATAAAAGCATGGCAATGAAAGAGAACGAAAAGAAATAAACAGTACAGGACGAAAAGTGTGTGTATCTGAATAAAAAAATAAGTTCCTGCATAATTCATTCTGTTTTAACCAGCTTCACAGCAAAAACGGCTAACGGTCAACCAGTGTGGCTAAAGTTGACGACCCAAGTTCTCCGATGCAAAACAAGTGATCTTACTCATTCAAAGTTTTTACTTAGGTTTTCATACATCCTGTGTCGATCTACATCGTTTTCCGTTCAACATCTAGATAAGAAATTATAGTTGCCATCCAAAATCTACAGTTTTCATAGGAAAATGCCCCCAAAGAGCTCTTTTTTCTGCTTCAATAATTCGAGCACTCTTTTGGCTTAAACAAATTTCAAAACATTTCTAACATAACAACGCTCGTGACAGTCAAAATATGAATCAACATCATTATTTTGATGTTCCAGACCAATACAATCGGCTAAAACTTTGTCTTTCGCAGAAAAGTGTCTGTGCGTTACTTGGTATTTTGTCTATAACTCGCTCATTTTTCAACGCATCGACGTTTTCTTTTAACCAAAAGATAGCCCTGATTGTTAGCTACAAAACCATTTCTCTCCTAATTCATTAACTCAGAGTATCTTGTCGTATTTTCACTTCTCTTACATGCACCCAGAAAACGAGGGACTTTTTTTGTCTGTGCGTTGCCGACCAATATTTTTTGTGTAAAACACAATTGCATAAAGATAAAAAATTGAAATTTTTATGAGAAGTAGAACTTCGTCGAATACATATTTGCGGAAAATTTCAACTCTCTAGTTTCATTGGTTACCGAGATATACGTTCCTGAATTTGAAAAAACGTCTGTGCATTACCTGCGTTTTTCATGTTCAGTGTTTACTGTAGCAACCTACATTTTAATTGTAACTATTCATGATTTTGGCACCCATTTTGGCGCAAATTTGACCTCCAAAAAAGCAATATTAGAATAAAGTTTATAATCCTGATTTTTATAAAAATTCCTGATTTTTTTAAAAAAATTTCCTGTCTGCTTTCCTGATTTTGGAACACATGCCGCTGCGACCCCTGTTATAATACTCCTGAAGTATTACATATTTTGCTGTAACAAAAATGTTTTCTGTAGAAGTAGAAAGTATTCCTATCAAAGGTTTTCTGAAGTTATATTAGTTTAAAATTTTTAAAGTGTAAACAAAAACTCTCAATCTAAAACATATATTCAGTCAATTCTTATAAATACACCGTTGTGCATAGATGAAAGTACGTATGGCATTGACCACTGTATTGTTTATTCAATTTTCGAATCAGTTGTTGGATATGAAATGACATGCTTTTCAAGTCTATAAATCGGGGGACCCATTTTACTCATCGACAAACCCGCTGCCATTTCAACTCGTTTCAAAAAATCCAGCTTTTTTTCACCAGCCAAAACAGTAATTGGAGCCGATCCAGGAAGATTTTTAAACGTAACAGTTCCATTAGCCATTAATTCGTCTTTTTTGTCAGCACTTATATTTTTCAATTGTTCAATCGTACATAATTCGTACCAGAGTGTAAGTCGAGGTTTTGATTCTTGAGGATAAACGACTCGGTGGATACCTGGCTTGAGTCGATTTTGTGTTATTTGAGATGCTGCTTCTCCTAACCAAATGACACCAATGTTTGGTTCTAAAGGTCCATGTACCCACTCATTATTCGTCATATTTTTCAATTGAAGTCCTTCATGTGTCGATAAAATACTAATTGAAAGTAGTCCTGGATCATAATGTGGAACACAATTAACTTCTTCAGTTGTTTGTCCGTTCTGCGGTGGTCGGAAACTACTTTTCATATTGAAGTAGTTTACAATGTCAAGCATACCAAAATGTTCATCTTTTAAAGGAAGATCAGCATGTTCTATGAGAGATGCTAAAGATGGGTCCTGTTGGAATACTGAATGTTGATCAAGAACTTCGATTAAACGTTTTGTTACGGTATCTAATACTTGAGAAATATAGTTTAATGGTTGAACAAGTGTCCGTGGTATTAATCCTTTATTTGCAAATTTGCCAAAATAACTTCCGGTTAGTAGTTTGATTCCTTCTTTATGATTCACTTTTGAATAACCATATATTTCAAGATGTTGCGAATATTTATTTTTTCTTTTGTCCAACTCAAAAAAATCCGACAGTTCCTTTGTTAAGTTTGAGTCTGGAATGAGTTCTTTTGGTAAAAAAACGAAACACCAGCCGTTTAATTCAAATTCGGTTTTCATTCGTTTTATTTCAGCAGAATCTTCAAGATTTAGAAGTTTATTCAAATCGATAATGACTTGTGTTTTCTTGTTCGATTCAGACATTTTTCAGTAATTATGTGTGTCGAGTTGAAAGTAATGTTTCTTGCTGAATTTATCGTAGTTACTCAACAATAACTTTGCTTTATATACAAAAAAAATGTAATTACACAATGTTTCTCCGATTTAACGTCACTAGTTGCGAAATTCTGCCAACTCATCGCTGATTCACTCATAAAATGAGTGTCAAGAACATGTTAGCTGCATCAAGATCCAATAATTTTAAATGAGTAGCCAAAGTAGGGATTTCATTTCAGTTTCAACTACTAAACGTTTTCTGAAGATGCATTTTCACATTTTAATCACAGATTCCGGTTAACAATGCTCATTTAGAAAACACCAAAATCAGTAACTTTTATCGCAAAAACTTCATAAAGATTCTTAAAAAAAAGAGATTTTTTTCGCTCAGAAAACATCCAAAACATATCCGGATACCAGAGATGAGATCAGGACAACTTTTCCTCCTGTCCTGAAATCGAACTTCATCCTGATGTGCGGCAGGACAGGACATAGGACGGCCGCACCGTCCTGTCGTGTTGCCATCTCTGACTAATAATAAAGATCTTCAAATGTAACTTAAAGCAATAATAAATCAATAAAAACTATATAAGACAAAAATATTCCAACTCTATAGCTTGCGTGTAAACAACGAGTTTTCTTTTTCTTTGTAGTAGTTGAAGACAATGAAGTTGGTGATAACCGTTTTCTTTACAGAAAACTTCAATTATTTAGGGTAGAGTTGTTGTTCATTATTTGGAAATTATCATTTTCTTCGTCATTTTTATTTCCATTATCAATATTGCAAGAATTGTTAATTCATAGAACAGCATCGTGTATATTATTGATTATTTCAGGAATTTTATTTAATTCTTGTTGCTTCGTTTTCATCATAACACAACAGCTATTTTTTTATGTATTTAAAATACGAAGAAAGTTGAAAAGAATTTGTATTTGTACGAAAAAACATTTTGATCGTTCAGTTACAGTTACATTCTATGTGTTCGCTAATGTATGTATTTAATGGTGTTAAGTCTATGAAATAATCAATATTATTTTTCAAAATAACATTTTTAAACGCATTGATAGAGAATTTTTCGATGCTGGCAGAAATCACATGTACATAATCATTGATTGACATTACATCAGATTACGTTGAGGTAGATAGTGCTAATACTGATTCAGTAGAATCTAAACAACATGAGTTTAAAAAAGATGTATTCAAGTGCGAATGATTAATTTTTGAAGATAATAAGAAAGATTTTGAATCTTTTGCCCGTTTTATGCATTTGTAATTCTTGCCTTTCACTACTTGTATCAAATCATCAATACGGTTATTGATGTCAGGTTTAACAAGAATATTATGATCATCTTCATCAGTAAAAGATACACGATTGGTTAGGTCGATAAGTTCTTTACATTTAAAATTCAGTATAGCCAAAATATCTGGAACATTGATGAGTTTTCTAGCACTTTTAATAGATTGCAATTTTATTAACATCATATTGTCGACACATAAGCATTCTTCAATAAAGTTGTAGAATTGTTCGTTCGATTAAAATATAACTTCATCAGATAAATTATGCAAATCGATCGTCATAATGTATGATATACTTATCGACGAAAACACAAATGTGTTCAACAGTAACAATATAATTATTCTGTATTAAAGCGTTAGTTTATTTTCCTCTTGCTTTCATTCGCATACAAGGGTTTTCTCGATTAAAAAGGAATGAAAGAAAATAAGTGAATATTCAGTTGAAAATCAAGACAATCTAAATCAAAGTTTTAGTCTATTTTGACTTCTGTCTGTGTAAATTCAGGTTGACTAACATGCAATGTTTTGAAAAAATCATCGATCTTTTCCATTTTTCTCATTAAAACATTATAACTTTATGTATTCAATGTGATTTTCAAGTCTTTCTATGCTTTAATCTTTTCATTGGGTAACGTTGAAATTTCTTGTTAACCTTCTAAAACATGCTAATAATCGCGATTCACGAAACTTTGTTTTGTGGAGACGAATATAATGCGTATAAACAACATGAGAAATCATTACAAAGTCGCATTGATTCACTGAATCCATCTATAGAATCCATTAAGAGAAACATGTGAGAAAGATAGGAAGCTAATACATTTCTACTGATATTTGCAAATATCCGTCAAGATCCCCTACGATCCAGGAGCTGATTTTCTCCCCTTGATAAGGATTCACCTTTATGTTATTCAGGACAATTGAGACAAGACCTCTGTCACTCGTAGATCGATCCGAATAATTAGGATCTTTCTTACCAATCAATCATGTTTGAGAAAGTCGTTTCTTGACTATTGTGAAGACAAAATATTGTGCTGCTCGAACCGATCCGAGGATTATCTTGAGTGTGGATGAATAAAAAGATCGTACCCATCGATGGAGTTAAAAAATAAAAAAAATGCATGATTTGCGTAAATTCTGTGTGAAAAAGCTGTTAGCACAATCCCTCTAGGATTAAGAATATGAAACACGATGTAGCCACTGTTGTCTTCAACCTGGTTTTGTTTACCCAAGTCATTGAAGGATGTGTGGGTATGGGTGAGGTGTGTGGGTGGGTGTGAGTGGGTGTGGGGTGTGGGTGTGGTTGTGGTTGTGAGAGTGTGTGTGAGGGTGTGGCTGTGGCTGTGGGTGGATGTGCGTGTGCATGTACATGTGGGTGTGTGCATAGGTGTGAGTGTCTCGGACGGGAAGATCAGTACCGACATCCACACCCACACCCACACATACCCATAGAGGAAATCAAGTCCCAGCATCAAAGTCGTTGTTTAGGCTGAGACCGACACTGTCATGATGAAGTCAAACTCTCAGTGACACCCTTATTTATAACCTTATCAACGTCAGTACGCACAGGAACACAATAGCCAACAACCGCATTCTCCCCGACAGACAGCTCTATGTAACCTACGTAGGCTTAATCACATCCATACGACTATGGGCATAAGCACTATGCTCTAGAACCAAACCGCCACTGTGGAATAAGAGTGACAGTATCTCGCTCACTTACAGGCACACTTAGACCAAGACGTAAAATAACAATGACCATTCGCTATCCGACACACGTCCGAGTACGTCCAGTCGTGAAAACTGAATTTCATTATTGAAAACTTTTTAGGTATTCAACAATCCAATAATGGAATAATTGGGAAGTGTGGGTGCAGGACTGATTTTGAGTTAAGAACTGTGCACGTACATCCATACACTCATACCCACCCACACTCATACGATCCATACCTCACACCTGACACCTACTCACACACTCTTAAAATAAAAAAACTTCATTTTAATCGTTGTTCGTAATTCGACTGGTAACAAGTAAAAACTTTTTGCTTCGATTGCCAATGCGACAAAAGAAAGAATCAATTGAAGTCAATCTCTCCGTTCTTCATTATTTCCTTGCACTTTCTTTGCTATTCACTCATATAATAAAGAAATTTTTCTTTCGATTAAAAAGAGTCACTCGATTCGCTTTTATGTTGAGTTATTTGCGAAGTCATATAAATCTACCTGAGGATATTCTTGAAAAAGATTGAAACAGATATCTTGATTCGTCACTCTGTGACATACATAGATTCAAGTGTTTTATGTACTTTCTGGTTCTCTTTATACTTGCTATTTTGTCGTTGTATATGTTATCTTTTAACATTAAATCAACAGATGTATGCGCATACTATGCAACATTCACTCAACGACAACACTGGAAAGAGAACTTTTTCTTCTTTTATTTCTGCAATCTTCATTTGATCACGAGCAAGTTAAAATCGTATATCATCTCAATAACTTGCATAGAACACCGACGCTGTGAATTCTAATGTGAGTATTTTACTAGCATTAAATACATATTCCATTAGTCATGATTCATCAACTATCGTAGAAACTTATTGAATGTCGAGATGCCTCGTTTCACCGACATCGATCCGAATAATAAGAAGCTTTCGCCTGTGTATGGATATTTAACTCATCCATTACTTCCACTTCGTCGAGCTCTCGAGCCAATTCTTCGTGAAATTGATCAATTAGATCGATTCATCACAATAGCCATTAATGAATGCCATTTTCCTTCTGAACATGGTCTCACGCGTGATGAATCAGCCGCAGTTTTTCTCTACAGCATGGAGTGGGGTGATAACAGTTTCTATCAAGTTCTTAATCGAGCACTGCGTTCCGAAGATCAACAAGCACTCAAACGTTGGTTTGAATATCTTAAATTATTTGATGTAGCATTGCACAAATTACCCACTGATCGGCTAAATGTATGGCGTGATGTTAATGGTAATATCAGCAAGAATTTCAAAAAAGGCGAAGAAATAACATGGTAGAGTGTTAATTCGCGTTCATCCTCAATTGATGTCATCAAAAAATTCCTTTCTTCGAACTCAACACTATTCATGATTGAAGCAATCAATGGCAAGATTGTGTCAGGCTATACTAATTTTCCGAATGAAGATGAAGTTCTCCTCGCTCCTGGTACACGACTTCATGTCATATCAACTGCCCTCGATCAAGCATCATTACATATAATTCATTTGAAAGAAATAAGCGATCGAAATGAACAGCAACTGTCATCCTCGCTCAGTGCGATGCATTTAACACAACCAAAATCAACAAGCGATGAAGGTACGTAGTCATTTTTCGAGAATGTCACAAATAACGATCTATGAATTAAAGGTTCGGATGATAATGTGTCGAATAAGAAACTTTGGCCATTCAAAACGTTTACATATCCAAATCGTGACTGGTACGAACGAGAATGGAAAGATGGGAGACGTCATGGAAAGGGTACTATGCACTATGCTGATGGGCGCAGTTATGTTGGTGACTGGGTCGACAATCATCGATCGGGACACGGTACCTTTAATTTTGTGAGCGGCGATCGGTATGTGATAAGATATTCACAAATGTCTTGTCATCATGAATTTAAAGGTCATTTTTGCATTGAACGTATAGTCGATACAATGAACGAATAATCATCGGGACAATGTAAAAATGATCTCAGAAACGGAAAAGGTACTTATTACATTGCCAAAGGAGGTAAGTATGTTGGCGATTGGGTCGACGACCACAGGGAAGGCTACAGTGTTTTTATCTGGCCGGAAGGTGAGCGATACGAGGGGCAATTCAAGAATAACAAGATGAATGGAAAAGGTACAATGTACTATGAAAATGGCAGCAAATATGTTGGTGATTGGGTCGATGATAACCGAGAAGGTCAGGGAAAGTATACTTTGCCCGATGGAGCTTGGTGCGAGATCAGATATTCATAAATTTCACGTGATCATCAATGTCTCATCCAAGTATGCGTCGAAATTTTGTTGCCACAATGAACGAACAAATATCGGGAGAATTTAAGAATGACATGTTCAATGGAAAAGGTACCGTTTATTATGCCGATGGACGGAAGATCATTGGAGACTGGGTCAACGATAAGATGAATGGAAAAGGCGTTTCTTATTTTGCCGATGGACGCATTTACGATGGCGAATGGTCTGACGGTAAACAAGCAGGCTATGGTATTTTGACTTGGCCCGACGGTCAGCGGTACGAGGGACAATTCAAAGATGATAAGATGGATGGAGAAGGGAAAATGTACTATCCAAATGGGTATGTGATAAAGGGAATTTGGTCAAATGATACATTCATGAAGTAATTCGATCTTTCACTTCTTTTTTTTATTATACGAACTTCATCTGCTAAATGTTATGACTGAATTATTTTAATGATTATTAATAAATACTTGAAGATAAAATTATTTGTATACCCGAGTAGCAGACAATTTTAGCAGGTTTTAGACAGAAAGTAGAAATCGGTATAGTTGTCTTGTTTTAGTTTTCACTTTTTCATATTTCTATAAAGAGAGCAGAAACAAATGACAATTTATGCTTCTTCATCATATTACTCTTTGCTACAAAGATGTAAATAAAACCATCACCGAGAAATGACGACTATAGAGATATGTTTATGATCCCCAGATTGTTGGACATGATCCTCATTTTTATCGAGATTATTGCCAGCATCTGTATTGGATTGATAATCTTCATCTAGATGAAGATGATCAATCAGAGTAAAATCCGATACATGTCGTTTCCCAGCTATGGGATTCATTTGTTGTCGAGTATCACGTTGTAGAAAAAAAGACTGGTTTTTTTTGGAATTTATCGATACAATTTTGAAGAAATAACTCACGGTCAATTCAAAAGATGTTGTTATTTATCCGAAAGGTGGGGGTGGTTCACAGAGAAATAGGCCTTAATACAAAACAACTCCAACGACAACATTTTCAATAGAATTCAGGGTGTGGGTATGGGTATGTCTTCTTCAAATCAACACCCACATCCTCACACTATTTGAATAATAATAAAGAAAAATGACGTCTATTTCGAAGAAAGAATTTATGTAATGATTAGTCTACAAAACATAAATTAAGAGTGTGGATGTATGGATGCAGGTATATGAGGTGTGAATGTCGATCTTCTTCTTGCATTCACTCACATATACATATCCACGACGTTTTACAGTCGTTTATGAGTAGACTTGTTCGATCTGGAATGCTTTTAGGACTGGTGATCATTGTTGTTCAACTATTAAATAGTTGAATCGATTGTTCAATACTGTATGCATGAAGATGTTACGCAATATTTATTAAGAGTTAGAGAATGAGCCTGAAAGATAATATTGTGAATAACTAAAATCCTATTATTTGATTAATATGATATTAATTCTCTTTTGCATATATAACTAATTTGAAATAATTGTATTGATTTCTGCAACTGGCGACAAAAATTTAAGCGAATTAATTTTTTTCAATTTTTTCTTACATTTGTGTTTTCAAATTTTATTTCACATTATTAAAGAGTACGGATCTATTTGAAACAGTGAATAGATTCAAATCCTTTTTTCATCAAAATGATTCACAATTTGCCAAGACCTTGTAAATACAATCTATGAATTACTTACAAACAAAGATAGGCGGTAAACGGAAATTTCGAGCGAATGCTTCATTCCAAACAAAGTCCAGTATCTATCCCTACATTAATATGACAATCGAAAGTAGATGTATAATCGGGGTGTGCATGTAGATGTAGATAGTCACACACAAACACACATCCCTCACCCCCACCTACGCGCATACCCACACCCACGCCCGCATAGAGAATCAAAGCGGCTATGTGTTGCACTAGATCTATGGTAATGTCCTGAAGAAATTACTCTAATCTTGTAGTTGTGGAATGATATTGTCGAAAATCAGATGGTTCAGGTGGAAGAATATTGGTACAGTTTATCTATTGAAGAAAATAGACAAGAAAGTATCTTTCGTACACTTTGCTTAAACAGGGAAAGAGTGATATAGATCTCGTTCTATTTATTGAAAGAAGGTTTGGTCTACATTTGAGTGATAAAATAATTTTTGATGATTTTCAGTGTTGAAAATATTTGTTATGAACAAATAACTTGTTAATAATATGAGGAACATAACCATAATGGGAAACTGGGATCGGATTTAACAATTTATTGGAGACTTTTTCATTAACGGATGCAAGTATATCACCAAAAGCGTTTAGTATTCCTCAGTTCTAGATTGAAACAAAACCCTTGCTATTGAACTTTTTTAACTACTTTTAATTCATTTTCAATACATTGATTCATAGAAGCAAACAAAATATGATGTTCGTTTGCTTTACAAAAAGAAAAAGAAAGTCAAATAATTGATCATCAAAAAAACATGTTTTCTTAGCGATATTTTATTTTACAGTGAATAAATAAAAGAAGAGTGTTTTTATCAGAAAATACAATCCTGAACAAAATTAGCTGACTCCTATGAAGTGCTACTATTCTTTATGCTATTGAATACACTGCCGTTATGATTTAAACATCATGTTTCTCTTGTGATTACTTTATCTCAATGATTCGAGTCAAATATTTTCGTTTAATTCTTCATGCGAAAGTCAAATGTCATGATTGTGTCGAGTTTGAATTTTGTTAGAAATTACGTTAAAATATATTGAGAAAATATATTCTCATTAAGAAGCTTTATTGAAGAGCAAATGGCGATTCCATTATAGTGAATCTTTTTCACCATGACTTTGATTAACTCATCTGAAGATTTTAGTAGAACCTCTCGAGATGTCAAAAATCTTTTCCGTCTGGAATGTGATGATTAGATAGGGCATAATTAGACGTGATATATCCCAAGTTTCATTAGCTTAAGAGATCAATTTTTGAAAATAAGTGTCAATTTTTTTTCTTATATGTATGCATGAATATCATAGAAAAAGCACAGAATACAGTCAAAACAAAATCATGAAAAGTGTAGCATCTGCTTGCATAAGTTAGATATTATGAGTATGACAATTGACGAAAAAATCTTGGAAACATAATATTTTATTGCAATAGCTACATCGATTTTCAAAAATTGATCTCTTAAGCTAATGAGAAAAACGAGAACCAGTTCCAGTTTTTCAGATAAATAGTATCTTGCTAGAAGTAACGTGGGATATGTCACTTCTAATTATGCCCTATCTAATCACCACATCGCTGACTGAAAAGCTTTTTGACACCTCAAAAGGTTCGCTCGTTAGATAAGAATAAAGTAGACATGTGGAAGTATCTTTTAGTACTTGAAATAAAAACGCTCATAGCTTGTAGAATCAGAAAATGACAAATAAAAACTTTTTGAATGCATTATTTTCACTAACTATATTTTTCGCCAGAGGAAGAAGCTGTGTCTTTCATAATTTCAGTACATGTAAATCAATGGAGAGCGGATTAATATTTGTAATCAGAGATTATTATCGCATGCATGCACTCTAACTATCAGCTTAATATCATAAAGAATAGTAGCATTTCATAGGAAAAGGAGGCAGCTAATTTTTTTTCCAGAACTGTAATTTATCGCACACAAAAGCACAAAATACAAATTAATATTATATTTGATTTTGATATTGATCATACTGTCTTATAACAAATAATTTTGTACAATCATCGATGAATGGAATGTATGTTTCTTATTTGTTATTTGTAGTCGATCCTTTATTCTTTTTTTGTGTTGATGATGGAGTAAGAATTTTAAGTTCTCGATATCGCATCTAAATTATAAAGACAAGATAATATGTTTTTCTCGTTTTCAAACAACGAATTACTAACTAATTCAATATCAGAAGGTAATCGGGATATAAAATCAGCTGCTTCATTATTATCAATATAACCTTTAGGTTTGCGAAATCGTTTTGTAAATTTGTTAATAACAAATGCAAGAATTAAATATCGAAGTGGAATATAATAGAGTATTACTCCACCAAGTATAAGTATAATAAAAAAGAGAATGGATAACCAAGGAACAGTAAAATTAAATAAACTAACAATAGAAACAAAATATTTTATGAATAAATATAAAAAGAACTTTTCTATTACTTTTTAATCCGTTCTAATGTTGAAGCAACCATATCTACATAACCTTGTATTTCAAGAACTGTTTCTTGAATACTTTGTATAACACTCAAAAATGATTTCTTTTGTTCCTAGAAAAACACAAGAAAAAAAAACAAATTTATATAAAAATTTTTGTATTCTAATTTACTTTTGTATTAACATCACCATCCAAGATTTCTTCATCTACAGGAGCTGGTTGTACAAGGACTGATACTGTTTCGTTACCTAACGTAGCATATGGTTTTCCAAAACGACCTCGACGATATTCTTTAACTGCATTTCGCGCCAAAAATAACAAAAGTACACAAGGTAACATATATAATTCAAAATTCCAAACAATAACAAGTGTGGCCTAGAATTTGAATACTTATAAATAATATTTCAATGAATATTTTCTTACCATAAAAACTGCAAAACTCAACCATGGATTTTCCCATTGAAAACAATCATCAATAAATTTCACTAGATTAACTATACCTTTGAGCATATTTTGAATACGTGTTACATGTTGTTTTATCGCCTTAAAATGAAAATCACAGAAAGATTGTTTTATTCCATTTATTTTGGAACACATTTCTTTTTAATATCCCTTTATTTAATCTTCAGTGAGAAGTACTGTGTTTAGTTTTCTATCCTTATACTTGAACACTCCTTTTAGATCGTATTTCACAATAAAAGACTTTATTTTATTTAACTATACATACACCAACACTGAATTTTTCATCGATTTGATAATATGATTTTTGTCTTGGATTAAATGTTCGAATCACTGCTTTAAGCTATGATTACAAAAAAAGAACAAAAGCAATAAAATTTTCATTAAAAAAATTTTTTTTACATTTGTATAAACAAGTGTTGCTTCTATTTCAATAGCACCTTTAACAGGTAGCATACTTTTTCGATCTTTTAATGCTATCCATTTCTTTTCACCATTTTTTATCTTTTAAAAACAAGTAAAAGTTAAAAAGAAAATAATGAAACCTAATAAAATTTTCTTACAGCTAATAATGGTATTGCAACTTTTCCAATAAATTCAGTATTTTTATTTGTATCTTCATCATAAATTGTTAATTGAAGTATAGAATGAATATCTTGTACAGGTATAATAAATGATTTATTCCAAACAGGATCAAGTGTTTTATACAAAGTATGTGTGCGTAAACGATTTGAATCAAGTTCAACAAGACAAAATGGATCTGATTTACCATTTATATCTTTTGAACTAAGATCACGGGCTTGATAAACTAGATTGTTTTTTTTTTTTATCAAGAAAATTTTATAATAATAATAATAAAGAAAAATTAATTAATGTTTACTTTTGATTTCAAGTTTACCAACATCAAGTATTGAAGCTATTGATCGAAGCGTAGAAAAAAAACTCTATGAAATAATTAAAAATAAAAAATTTTCAATGTAAATTGATTTTCTTTTTTTTTTCTGTGTTACGAACATATTTTTCAACATCTTCCTCAGATAATTTAGGTGGAATACAATCAAGAGCAATATTAGATGAATTATCACCATCACTAGTGGCTTCTTGTAATGCTGTTGTTCTTGTTATTGTTACAAATAAATCAATTATACCAGCACCATCTTCAAGATCAACTGGTATTAGATGTGTTCGCTCTTCATCTAAATGAGCTAAATTACAAATTGCTCTAAAGAAAACAAAATACAAGACTCAAATAAATATGTGGATGAAAACATTTCTTTTAATATATTTACCGGCCAATAAACTCTCCTGAAGTATTAGTATCATCAAAAACACTTAATTCTAATGGAGGAAGTTCACTAAGATATGTTTCATACATAAATGATTGATGCCATTCAGGATTACAATTCGATTTTATTGTCTAAACAATAAGTAGATGTATAGTAAGATACAATTTTATAACAATGAAATATGTTGAATGCTCATTTAATGTCGGATCTATGTTTAAGTTTCATGATTGGACACTAATATTCAACATTGAAAATAGGTCATATGGAATATAAAAACGAGAAATTCGTAACAACATAAATCAATTCATGTGTCTTTTAAATAGAAATGTTAGCTAGTAAGTCAGCAGGTGTCCTGTTTACTCTATATATGAACCTTTGATTCCGAGTTGTAATCAGTATACTGAATTTTTCATTCATTTACAGGTAGTTCTCAAACAAATCAAATGACAAAATTTCGATCTTCAGTTTTGTACAAAAAACGAGTTCACTTGAAAATTTGGTAAATTTTGGATTCAAACTTCATTATTCGATCATTCACGAAATACCTTAAGCTTTTACTTTTCTTACTAAGATCTGTCAGTAAATCTAATATGAGTTCAAACGTTGACTATCATTGAAGATAGTTCTTTTGTAAGTAATTAAAAATGAAAATCTTCTTTTTTTTTGTTTTTTTTATGTATCTTACTTGTGTTCGACATTTTTTATCGTTATCAAATTTAAGTTTAATATAAGGACTACAAGGTTTATTAACATCGGTTGACTTTAATTTTCTTCCTTGAATTATAAAGACATCAATTGTACGTCGAGCTTGTATAACTGCATTATTTGATCTTGAACGACTACGAATTTGTGATCGTTGTTGTGATTGTTTTGACAATGTACGAAGAACCTTTAATTTAAATATCAAAAATAAATCTTCATAAAATTTTTTATTTTCTTGTTTTTTTTACTTCATCACGAAATTCAATTGATTTTGGTGTTATTGTAATACTAATTTTAAGTACACCAGTTTTTCCATCATTTCTTCGTTCATCTTCTAATTCAAGTGTTGCAGCATATAAAATATCTAATGGTAATTTAGATAAATCAATTTTTGTTATACCCATTGGTTCATCACGTCCAATACGATCATGATCAAATATATTAAAATAGATTGGAATATTTATATCATGTACAAAAAATGTAAATTTTTCATTCCATACTGGATTTAAATTGTTTAATACAATATTTGTTTCATATTTTTCTTCTGTACCATATAAAACTTTTACATATGGATCACTTGAACCATTCATATCTTTAGCAGCTAAATCTTTTGCACTTTCAATACTAATTTCAGTCCAATAAACTTGTTCAATAGTATTATCATTATTATTATTATTGCCTGATGATGCATTTGTTAAAATTGATGTAAGTGATGGTGATATAGTCATCACAGTGCGTGCACGTTGACTTATTTCTTCTTTTAACTTATTTAAACTCACTCGACTTGAACTTAATTTTCGATTAAGTCCATTTATTGGTGTTTGATTTTTTTCTCGTTCATCCTCAATAACCATACTTAAGGAGTCATTTAATATCATCGTTGTTTCAGAACCATTTTGAATACTTGTATTAACAATCGGAGATAATTGTGAAGATGAATCAATTTCATTTTTTACTGAATTTTGATTACCTTCATTTGTAGACGATGATTTTGCCTCCTACAAAAAAAAAAAAATAATAATAATAATATTTTTATATATTTAAATAAAAAAATTTTCTTCAAATAAATAACCTTGACACAAGCACATAAATATTTCATGACTACATTATCTTTATGTGTATTACAGTCTTTCATTTACAAATAAAATAAAACTTTTATAATTGACAAGCATGAATCACTTTGAATAGAAGTCGTTTTTTCTTCTCTTCAATCGATTTCCATATCTCGAATGACATAAACTTTTAGACGAGGCCCATGGCATGCGCATTGAAAATGCAACAGATGATTAATTACAACAAAAATAATCTATTTTTATCAACTATCAAGCAGAACATTAAAAAAAACGACGAACAGAAGAAATAAAGACTCATGGTCATATTCTATAGTTTATATTGATTTATTTTTTTCCTATTCAACTTTCTTTTACTTAATGGTCTTGTGTTATTTATGAAAGAATGAAAATGTCTAGATTCGTATAATTTTAGAAAAGATTTCATCAATATATATAATATGTTTCGATTAACATGGATATGAAATTTTTGAAAGTTCTACACAGATATTAAAAGAATAACACATAAGTGTTCTTTTTACTAGAAACAAAAAATACTATATGATATTTGAAATAAATTCCATACTCACATGTTTAGTTTTTTTAAATATGATATCCATTTATTGGACGTTATTTTTATGTGTTATTTATCACTGTCAGATAATATAAAAGTAAAACATACATGAGAAAAAAAAATCGATCAACCGAATCGATGTATGTATGAATACAGAGTGTAAACTATCGCTTGTTTTTATAAAAATGAAAGAACAAAAAACGGTGTGATAAAAAAAAAGGGTGGTTTATAACTGATTAATTGGTTGGTACAAGTCATTTTTCACAGAAATGCATGGAACATGGATGAATAATATAATCGGAAAGGCTTGAACTTCTTTTAGAAATGCTCAAGCTCTTCTCTCTTTAGAAAATTTGAACATGATACAGCTGTTGATGTGAACCTCATTTAGAAAAGACTATGCTTTCTTGTTTACAACACTATCAATGACTCACAAAACCATTATTTTTTTACATTGAAAATATTGGTTTGATAATGCATGTCTCAAAATTATGGCCAATTATTAATTGACTGTAATATTAAAAAAAAATGATTTTCACTCACAAATTTTGATATACATATATAATGAGAAATAATTCAGTATGTTTTTTTTTCATTCAAAATGACTTACTGTAATAGAAATAACAGATGGTAATGATAAATGTTTATTATTATCATTCCATATTGATGAGATAGATCGACGATATTTAGGAGATCCAATAATATGTGATTTAATTTGATTGAATAAAGATAAACGATGTGATAATGAAATTGGTGTCTTAGTTCTTAAACTTTCTTTCAAATGATATGTTGATGAAAGTTGTTCGATATTAGTATTATCAAATAATTGATTTTTTTCATGAATTAATGCCACTGATGAAGACTCGTCTGTTGTATCTGTTCGATGTCGGTTACAATTTTTACCAACAAATGGTGCACGTACATGGCGCAACAGAGAACGGGATTTATTATTATTATTAGTAGTAGTATTGGATGTAGATTCAGAATCAGTACGGTCATCAGACATATTGAATTAAAATAATATTAACTAGAAGACAATAAAATGGAAAAGCTTTTGCAAATAAAAATTTCTGAAATATATATTAATCGATTGTCATTAATATGAAAATGTTTTTTAAATAGTTGCGTATTGATCAAATAACAATTGTATTTGCACTGTACCACATAGGTCTCATGGAAAAATCTTGATAGATTACTAAATGAATAAAATAGGAAAAAAAAAAAACAAATTTTTCGTACGATTTTCTACCAATATTAAAAATAATGAATTCTCAATATTTCTATTGAATCTTATCAACTGATTTCTCTTGCACGTCTCTACTAAAGAGAGAACCTCTCCAAGTGTCGAATTGCTTTTCGATTGAGATGGTGTTTATTTGATGAATACTAGCAATCAATAGAAAAGTCTAAAATACCTTTTTTTTCTAGACTTCCATTCTTCAGATATCGAAATTTTATTGCGTTTTTCAACAAAAAGTTGTGGTGCCGCTCAGATTACGCGAAAAATTGACTGTATTTTCTTTTTGAATATGTAATTATATGAACAATATTTACTTTAATCTTACTAAGAACTTTGTTTATGTAAATTTTGAAGTCAAAACTCGACTTTTTATGTGATCACAACTTTTCGCTGAAGAATCGGAAAAAAATCGATATCCTAAGAAACAAGGCCTGAAAAATCAAACCATTCTACGCTATTATAGCTCAACGAAAAATCAATTATATACGTGAATTATGTATTCGAGAATGAACTATAGGATTAATATATACTAACATAAAGAAATACGTATTCGTTGTATAAAACTATTTGGTATACATTAAACTATGGAATAAAATCATCTTTTTAAACAAACTTTTACCCTATTTCTTGTTCTTGGAGAAATTTTATTTTTGAAAAATAATATTTTTTTCATTGTATCTTCTTGATTATCAATGTTAAACGATTATTTATCATACTTAAACTTACCTGTATGACAGTAGATGACGACAAAACAATCGTTGTAATAATATAGAGGTCATTGATATATGTATATCGTTATTATAGATGAGAGTAAATTTATATCATAATTGCTCTTTAAATATCAATGCTGCTATTGATGCTAATAGGAGAGTAGTAAGCCTTTTTTTTCCAGTAACTATTTATTCTTATCATTGATGCCTAATAAAAGGATGTTACCACATATCCAAGATATAAACCAATATTGGCTTACTAAAAACAACTGTATAACCTTATCATTCTCTTTTCTTAAGGCAAACGATGAAGTGATAATATTATACAGTACAAATCAATTGAAAACATCAAATAAAAACGTGCTGGAGAAGATCAACTCAATTAATAGTGATCATATGTCTATGGAAAATGTTACATTCTTGCTTAAACGCTTATAGTTTGAATAACAATCTTATATATCACTTATCTTTTTATTTTTGATTAAATATAAAATGTTATATACTTATTTTTATTACGATGATCATTCAAACGGATTATTCAAGCTAGAATAAGCAATGCCATAAAAATATTATTTATCAGCATATGAATCAAACTCAACAATTGGTTAATAATCTATTGACGTACAAAACATCTTAAGGAATTTGTGTTTCTGTTCTATATAGAAGAAAAAAAAGCAAAAAAAAGAAAACAACCATCGTATTAGACCATAAAAAGAGTTGTTTCTGAGCATATTATGATGATAACTCATTTCTTTTTCTTTATTTTGTGTCATTTTTCTTTTCTATTGCTCCCAGATGATAATATTAGTGATAATAAAAATAAGAAAAACAACGTCCATATAGAGACGCTACTAAAACAAATCTAGAAAGTATTTCGCTTAATTGATTCCGATGTACCAATCAATTGTGCATTGATGCATAGCGAAACAAATCAACGAAGAACGAACTAAATCATACATTTTACATTATGAGACCTTGTCGAAGAGAATCTTTTTGTGAAAACATCATTAATTGCATTATTAAAACATAAAATATCTTTTTCTTTTATCTTTCTCATAGTTTTCTTTTCTTGAATATTCACTATAAGATGTCTATGACAATTAATAGATACAAATAACAATAACAAAGAAAAAAACTATTGAATTGTATTCATAATCATGTTTCCATTGTTGATTCTGTTTCTTGTTTGTCACCTAAAAAAAAAAAAGACAAAATAAATAAATATTATATATAAATAACTGTAGTATTTTGGAGTGAAGCTCAGATTGAGGATTTATATTTACTCAAGTATTTCTTTTGAAATAAGTTTTATTATTTGGTGACAATATATTTATATAACATAGATAACAACTGATTTACATGAAAAGTAACATGTCTAATGACTTTTTTACTATTGCGGTCATTAAGTTCACAAGTGTTATTTGAAATGTTTTTATTTAATAATATTTTAATCAGTATTATCTAATGCATCAATCATTGATGTCATGTTTTCTTCTTACTCGTCTGCTCCGTCATATGCATCTGCAATATTAATATTATTTATAGATCCTTCTAATAAAGGATTATCACTAATGAGCATATTGCAGTATTCATCAGTATGTAAATTCCTTTTTCTGACCATTCTAGTAGATATACCATCATGTTTAGTTCTACAATGACTAGAATCAATATCTATTTCTTCTTTAACAAAATAAATACGAACAATTAAATAAAATGTGAAAAAAATCAAGATGAGATCAGAGATATTTATGAGCAGCTGTCACATTTCGAAATAGGGTTTATTGTAGCTAGTGATGGTCTTTATCTGATCATAACTACATTATATAATAAATATCTTTTATTATTTACAAAAAATACGAGAGCAAAAACTATGAAAATTGCAAAAAAAAATCACATTTTCACCCTGACCTTCACGCCAAAGCACTAAAGTATTAATACATACTACTAAGATCATTGAACATAAAATACTGTTCATATTCTCTAAGATTATCACTTGAACGAGCTTCATCAAGAAATACTTCATAAACACGTTTGACATCATCGATTGTTACTTCACGAGCCTACATAAAAGAAAGAGATAAATTTTGGAGTATTAATTTTCAAATTATTCATACCTTTCGATTTCGACTAATAATACTTGAAAGAGTAATAAGTTGAATAGAATATCGTAAAGATGTTTCTTTACCAATTTTTGTTAATACATTAAGTGCATCATCAGATATTTCAACATCTTCTTCTTCACATCTAAATATATATATTTTTTTTCAATTTTTTCGTTGTTTTCTATCTAATCTAAAATTTCTCAATAAAATGATACCTTATTTTAAGAATTTGTTTAATTTCATCAAGTTCATAAGGTTTTGTCGTAATAATTAATAAACGATCAAGTAAATCAATTGGAATACCATGTGGACTTTGTTGATTAGTTCCACGTATTCTAAAAATATTCATTTTGATATATTTTTTTAAATTTTTACTAATTGAATACGAGTAGATTTACAGTTGAAATTGATCAATCTCGAGAAATTGTAATTTCTTCTATATCAAACTATCAGACAACATATTCAAAAGTGAGCCTTGCTAGATTTAGCCATATGGCACTTATTTGTGTTGTGCACATGTCGATTGAAACTGTCAATGATTATCACATGTTTATGGAATCTGACTGTTAAGTATAATCAGTTCTTTTTTTTTTGTCTATCTATCTCATGAGCAATCAAATTACTTTCCAAAAACTACAAAACGACATCAATGCATTGGTCATACAAAGAAATCCTAATGACATTATTCTTGAGAGAAGACTTGGAACCATTTTTTTGTTTATTGTATTCAGTAGATTTCAATAAGAAAATTACGATTTGAGTAAAATTATATGTATTTCATGAAAACTCAATGTTTGTTTGTGTATTTATCTGCTATTGGGAGGGTGTGATGTTGTTTTATACTCATAGAACTTGATTGGGATGCGTATTCAGAATATTGTATGTTTGTTATTCATGAGATGAGTAGATAAACAGAACTAATCATCATCAACAGTCAAATTCAACGAAAAGTGGTAATAAAAAAGTTTAACAACAACGTATTTTTCTTTCTAATATTAGGCATTAAGTTCAAATTCAAATAATAATTTCAATAGTCAACAGAGTTGTTCTATCTAATGCATTCTATGCTAAAATTTCATTGATGAATTATGTTGGTCAGTTTTAACGGGTTACATGAATTTCGGCCCACGAATTTTTTGTCCCGGACTTTCGGCCCGGGCCGAAATTCCGGTGATTTTTCGGTCCGGGCCGAAAGTCCGAAAGGAATTTCGGACCAAAACTTAATTTATCTATTTAATTTTGAAAATAATTAGTAAACTTCATGGTGCTCAGCACTATGCACCTCCAATAAAACGTTGTGCTCAGCAGTATGACATGGTGCTCAGCAGTATGACATGGTGCTCTGCAGTATGACATGGTGCTCTGCAGTATGATATGGTGCTTGGCAGTACGACATTGTGCTTGACAGTATGACATAGTGCCTAGCTAGACAGTCTAGTACCTAACACTATGCACATCGATAAAAAAATTGGCAATTCGGATATTGATCGAAACATAGGTTAAGTATTCTGTTGTGGGAACTGACGCAATATTTAAGAAATGGATATAGAACTCAGCAATACGAATTTAGATGACATGATAATTATAACATTCGGCTGTATCTGTGTACTTTTTCGTCTATTCTACTTAGGAGATAAATCACATCTTTTTGATATTGAATGAAATACATGTTTAGATAGTGATCACATTTAGCTGGCATGTGAACGCTCTATTCCAAAAAGGGAGGAATAGGGAGGATTGCCATTGAAAATTTTTAGGAGGATCTAGCATGAAAAAGGAGGAAAATAGGAGGATTTCTGCATTCTCGTGGAAAATGTATTCTATGCAGCATTTTAAATTATCACGATGCTTTTTTATTATCTATACGACATACGATAGATTGTCACCCTTTATTTCCACAACATAAATCCTTGGTTTTACACAATGTACAAATGAATGAATGATAATTTTGCAT